GGAACAGTGGCGGTGGGTAGTGAAGGAAGGGCTAACAGGCTTGAGCCCCCCCCCCCCCCCCCCCTTTTACTATATCCCAAAGTAAATGACAATTTCTTAACGAACGAAATAAGCTGTTGAAACTGTTATGATCGCACGCAAGGAACACAGAGTGATCGGCTTGACGGCTTGCTCGTTTATCCAATATCTATTGTCCCCGCTTACAACTATAAGTAACCTAACAGCCAATCAAATGTCTTTAGGGCCCAGCATAGGATGAGCCCGTTCCCAGGACTCTTCGTTAATGAAACTCTTCTTGTAAAAAGGCAGAAGACTGGAAAAAATAACACTGTACCTGGGGCTCACGCTCTCCTAGCCCTGGCAATGGGGTGAAAGTTTACGACACACTTTCCCCCAGTGACACAAATACCTATGAGTTCCTTTGTTAGGTGCGTTCTACTTTTGGCGACTACACAGCCTAATCCTCCAGGTCATAGATGGAATGTTTGAAATGCTGTGTGTGCATGTTAGTGTTTGTGCTGCTGAGATTTAACAGTTATAAATCACGTCGATTCCACTTTTAAAGCAACTTTTTTTATACAGAAGAATCTAACTTAGAACAAAGAGATAGAAAATAAAGGTCTTCACGTTTGAGTTTGAATGGTTCTCAAAACACCGTGGCTCACCGTGACTATGGAGAAATCAGTACTGTTTAGGGCTTATATTGCTTGCTATTTGGTAGTAAAGAAGTGGAAGCAACCTAAGCCCCACCCAAATTTTGGTCCACCCGCCACCACTGACAGGAAATTGATTATAAATAGCATCTGTAAAGCGCACACCTACTCATCAGTAAGCTCTGTGGGCTTTACAAATTATGTAATTATTCCAGCAAACCCTAGAACACTCTGATGTTCTCGGTTTCTCGGAAAGCATACAGTTTAAACTGCCGATTAAGCGCTGGAAACTAACAAACTGGCAAATATCTCTCGCCCTCTATTGCTGGCTGGGTGCCCATTCCTACGCGTATGAGGTGTGATAAAACTGACATTAGAGCTTTGCTAGCTAAGAGGTCAAACAGAAATGTGATAAAACTGAGAATAGAGCTAAGCTGGGTTAAAGGTGGAACAGTGGTGGAATAAAACGGAAAATAATAGAGATTTGCTAGCTATAGGTAGAGCAGCGGTGCGATAAAACTGAGAATAGAGCTAAGATAGGTCATAAATAGAATAGAAATGGAATTTTTTAAATGAGAATACAGCTACCTGGGTATGACGTAGAACAGAGATGGGATAAAACTGAAAATATATCTAAGCTTGGTAAGAGGAAGAACAGAGATGGAGTGAAACGCAGAACAGAGCATAAGCCAAGTACTACATGTATTATCATGCACTACATAACTCCTGTTCCAGCTCCTGGGAGCTTTCCTCACAGCCTGTCAAAGTTGCTGAAATCAGCGTCTGTGTTCTGCTGCATTTCAGCTTCACTGTGTGTTAAGTTCCTCTTTCGCGACAGGATTTTAGAATTTTTCAAGGAGGTACAAAATATTGAATATAGAGAGGGGCAAAAGTCTACAAGCTGAGCCCTTCATTCGGAACTTACTTTGGCCTACTTTTCACATATGGGATCTCTGTCCCCTGTGGGGGCATTGCGGGTTTCCGTGACCTCATGTTCGCCGTTAACCTATTTTGATTTATTTCATTCAATTCGAGGGGGGGGGGGGACTGGAATAGGCTTGAGTATGTTTCAAAAAAGAAGATAAAGAAAAAGACAAAAAAGAAGAAAGTGGTGACTACACTGATAAGAAAGAGGTGACAGAATGTTCTGCGTAATAATTTCCAGTCTATGCGTGTGTTAGGCTTCAATAGGTAAGTGTGGCCTTGGTAGTCCATTGGTTAGGTTACCGTTCTCGTAATCGAGAGGTTGCAGGTTCGAGGGTTCAAGTCTCAGACCAGACGTTGTGTCATTTGGAAGGCATCATCATCATCAACGATTTTCAACCCTGAAAGGGTATTGGCCACATACAAGCTCCTTCAATTTAACTCTGTCCTGGGCCATCCTTCCAAGCTCGTTCCAAGTGAACTTCACCCCTCTCATGTCCCTTTCCACGCATCTCCTCCATGTTTCCCGTTCCCTACCCCTGCCTTGGGCTCCCTGTGGGTTCCACTGCAGTGACTGTCTTGTGATGTTTCCCCTGGGCTTTCTTAAAGTGTGTCCCATCCATAGCCACTTTCTTTGTTCTATTTCTACTTCTTTATCCTTTTGTCCTGTCCTTTCCCACAGCTCGTCATTTCTTATTCTATCCTGCCACTTGATTCTTAGAATACTCCTCATACATCTGTTAATGAAAGTGTGGACTTTATTCAGCACTGTCTTTGTTGTCTTCCAAGTTTCGCAGCCGTAGAGGAGCACAGACTTGACGTTGGAGTTAAAAGAGTCGAATCTTGGGGCGCAGTGAGATGTTGCTTGTTTTCCAGACTTTTGATAATTGATTAAATGCTGACCTTACCTTGGCAGTTTTTGCTGTAACATTTGCCTCGGTTCCACCTTTACCATCGATGACACTTCCAAGGTAGGTAAAGAGTCCACTTCCTCCAGGGGAGCGTCTTCACAGCAGGGTTTGAAACTCTTCCTTGCTTCACTACTTTCGACTTGTCTGGATGTATACGTCGGCCAACACTACTTGACAGGCTGTTGAGTTCCTTGGTCTTTTCTTGCATCTGAACATGTGTGTGAGAGAGCAGTGCAAAGTCATCGGTGAAGTCCTAGTCGTCCAGCAGCTGCCAAGGGATCCAATGCATTCCATTACGCTTGCCTGTGGTGGCTTCTTTCCTGACCCAGTCAGTGAGAGCAAGCATCCCTGTCTCACTCCTGTCTGTACCTGGGATGGTTCTGAGAGTTGTCCTTCGTGGAAGACTTGGCAGTTTGTTCCATCATTGGTGGCCTTCACAAGCTTGCCGATTTTGTCAGGTGTTCCATAATGCTGCACGAGTTTCCAAAGAGTTTCCCTGTCCACGATGTCAAACGCCTTTTCATAGTCAATGAAGTTGACCTCGAGTGGTGAATTCCGTTCCAGCGATTGCTCAACAATGATGCGCAGAGTAGCTATCTGGTCCACGCATGATCGACTTATGCGGAGTCCTATCCGGTTTCCCTGGAGCTTCTCGTCTGTTGCCAGCTTGATTCTCTCCGGGAGTATCCTGTTAAAGACTTTCCAAAGTATGAACAGGAGTATTATGCCCCTGTAGTTGTTACAATTGCTGAGGTCTCCCTTCTTTGGCAGCTTGACTGGGTGGCCTTCCCTCCAATCTAATGATATTTCCTCCTCTTGCCAGGTCTTTTTCGAATAGAACATAAAGAATTTCCAGATATCTTTACCTGCCTTAAGGGCCTCTGGTGGTATATGGTCTTAACCAGCTGCCTTGTGGGACTTCAGCTGCTGCAATTTCCTCTCTCGAAGGTAGTTCCGCAACTATTGGGGGGTCATTTCGGGCTGGAAGATTTTCTGGTTGGAAGGCACTTTACATTAATTTTCATAACTTCACCCAGGTAAGAATAGGTACCTGGCCTTTGACAGTGAAAGATCTTATCAGTATGTAAGTGTTAAGGGCCTGTGAAATGGCAGCTTGTACTGTATGTACTGCTGTGGTAATACTATAGATTGTAAAGCGCATAGAGCTTGTTATTGCGCGGTAATTTAGGCATACAAATGCTATCTATTTATCTATGATAATTATTATTACTGTTAGTGAAATCAGTCTCACAAATAATGTCAAGCAAGTGTTGGTGACACAGCGTTTGGATGGATGGTAACTAGCTTGTGTCCTTAGGCAAGGTGCGATTAACCTAGCTTTAAAAAAAAATATAAAAAATAATAGCAACACAATAGGCGCTGCACAAAGACGACCAACAATGGCATGCTCGTAAATTATTCAACGCTGGCATAATGTTGTGAATTTATTGGTATATTTTTTATGTACCGGAATATTTTTAAAATATGTAGCCTACATGTGGGCTACATGTGGCACCCACGTTGATCAACAAAATGCAATTTATTTACATGTATTAATAATTTGTTCTATTGAATTTCTCTCTGTGCTGTTGTCCAGCCGTGGAAGTTTGACTGGGACAAGACAACCCAAGGCTGGGTGCTCTCCGCTCTCTTCATGGGTTACTACATCTCTCAGTTGCCTTCTGGGGTGGCGTCCGCTAGGTAATGTCTCTGTCTCTGTCTTTGTCTCTGTCTCTTTCTCTGTCTTTGTCTCTGTCTCTGTCTCTGTCTCTGTCTCTGTCTCTGTCTCTGTCTCTGTCTCTC